GCTAGTAACTACTTTTTTAGAAGATACATCGAATTTGGCCGAATTTTTTAGGGTTGTTTGAAGCAACCCATAGTTATTTTTTGTTTTCTATTTGATAAGAATGATTTAGCTGAATTTAGAGACCTTTTGGAGTCATAAAACTTCAATTGGGCGGCAATAGTAAGTTAAGTTTTCATATTTTGTGTTCAAGTGTAAGTGTGGGCGTTTTTTAGTGCGAAAAAGTTTAGAGATTGCTGTAAGTTTTTATTGTGAGACTTGGATTTTAATGCAAATGTTTTGTTTTTATTTAATATTCATGAATTCTGATCAGTTCCATTTATTTCTTCTTGCATATGAGATTTAATCTTGTGGGATGATAATGATTTAAAGATTTTTTTTTACTCTATGATATTTTCACTGGATGTTCATTTACTTTACAAACTGGTCACTTGTGAGGTTAAATGAGGTTAAAATCCGTTGAGGAGGTTAAAATCCGTTGAGAAACATAATAACCTGAGAGGGCTATGATTTCACCAACTAGTGAATACCTCATTCTAGGCAGAGTTATTGTGATCACCTAAGGGGAAGTGCAAATAAATAGGAATATAAATTTTGATGGGCGTATAATTTGTTAGATCTAAAGTGACGAATTAGATTATTATTAATTTGACTAACGTTTAGTACCCTGACAGATTCGATCATCGCAGTGACATAGGCTAGGGGCATCTAGAGTTGATAGACTATATAACACTGATGTGGAGTCGAGATGTTAAAGAATCAATCTTAAGTTGGTTAATGTTCTTTGCAAGCACCGGGATCGGATCAAGAATAAGGTATGTTTCTATTTATCACAATACCACAATTTTATCTTAATTCATTTGAATCTTACATAGATTAAAATCTCTTTGCAAGGGGAAAAGTTTTCTATAATATCCAAACTAGTTATATTTTGTTAAGTTGTTACATTTAGTTGTTATTTTCTTTAGTAGTAATATTTAGTAAGCATATCGTTTTAAATTTTTTATTTTTTTATTTGCAATTTAAATAGATATTCTGTAAGTTTATTTTAAGAGTTATTGCATCCCTCGTGGGATTGATATTGAGGTTTTTAAAGAAAATTCTACATTACTTGAAACGATATGTATATTTGCTTAGTACCCCTAGTGTAAAAATCTATTATAAATCATTATATTTGTTCACACTAACCGCTAGATATAAATTAAGACATTTTCTGGCAAAATTAAGAAGATTAAAAACACACATAAGTGTGGGTTAGGTCACTAGCAGACGACGCTTGTGTATTCATAGAAAAATTTTGCACGTCTTTTGAAGAAATGAATAAAAAATTTTCTTGTTTCCCTTAATTTTTTTTGTCCGATTTGTTCTTTATGCTTTCGTGGATTGTCCATCTATGGATGAAGGATCTTATTTATATGTGATTGAATTGTTTGAGCAACCAGCAAACTTAGCGCCATAGTTGGTTACTCTTTAATTTCACTCTCGGTCGTTTAGTCTTGGCGCCCAATTGTGATTTCTAACGTTGGGCTAGGCCGGCGATCTTGATGATGTGGTTTGTCATTATTCTGTTTTATGCTTAGTCAGACAATCTAGGCGCCACGACTGACTATCTTCAAACTTCAGGCAATGCCAAACAATCTTGACGTTGCAGTGTGTCAATCTTCTATTTGCACTTAGTCGAGCGGTTTTGGCGTCAAGGCTGGTTGTCTTCCAACTTCGGACAGGTTCGGGTGATCTTGGCGTCGTGGTCTGCCAAACTTTTGTTTGCGTTCAGTCAGGCAATTTTGGCGCCACTGCTAGCAATCTTCAGACTTCGAGCAAGGTCGGGCGAGCTTGGCACCAAGGTCTGCAAATCCTCTATTTGCACTCAGCCAGGAGGTCTTGGTGTCACGCTGTCAGTCTTCCAACTTCGAGCAAGGCTGGGAGATCTTGACGCCGCGACCTGTCAATCTTCTAATTGCACTCACTCGCGGTCTTGGCGCCACGAATGGAGGTCTTTGTTTGCCAATCTTCTATTTGTGCTCGGTCGGGCGGTCTTGGAAGGCGTTCTTTTTTTTTTGTGGAAATGTCGAACAATCTTGAAACTATTGTCTGTAGTTCTTCTGTCCCTCGAGCGTTGGGTAGATGCTTTGTTGATTCTTTGGTTTTTTCAAGTTTCCCAAGAGTTTTTCTAACCTGAAATTTTTCAGGCTTTAATTAGTGAGGCGTTCATTAATTTTATACATACTTTTGGCAGAGTATTGGTAAAAGTCTTAAATCAAAAACGAAAATTGAGAGAATATTTTTTAGTTAAGACCATTAGTACAGAGCAAAGAAGTGAACTACTAGAAAAAAAAATTTTGAGGCCGTTTCCGCTATAGTTCCAGGGACCTCATTTCTTGCATGGGTCCTTAGCTTGTATGATCCGGGTTCAGCCTGACGGTCAATGATATAGGGTCTGCTCCATGTTTGGTTCAACTTTGCAATCGTCTGCCCTCGTGCTGTGAGGTCGAACTTCTTCAATACTAGAACTTCGGAAGAGAGCTTTTTTTCGGACGCCCCGATTGTAGTATCGGGCAGCTCTCCACTTGACTTCTTCTTGTCACAAGGTCGATTGCGCTCAGACCTCTTCCAAAAGATCCAGCGCGAGCATTGTCCCCTCATTGTTTTCTTCCAACCATTCCGATAAATTTTCTTCGTTGAACGTCATAGCCGTGAGAACTCTTTGGGTGTGATAGTTGTATTTTATCGGCAACATCGCTTGCATTCCATGTGAAAGCACGAATAGTGTTTGGTTGGTTGCGGTTAATAAATTCGTGTGGATGACACAAAAAACGGGCGAGAGGATATCTGCCCAATTTCTCTTCACTCCTTCCACATTCTTTCTCAACAGGTTGAGAATAGTTTTATTGGTTGCCTCAGCCTGGCCATTGGTCCGTGGATGAAAGACCGAGGTAAACTTGAAACTTCTTCCTTGATCTTGACAAAATTTTGAACTTTTTTGTAAGCAAATTGCGTCCCATTTCCCATGATGACCATCAACGGCAGGCCATAGCAATAGATCAAATCGGTCCAAATGAAGTTTTGGATGATGTCTGCAAAGATCTGGGTGAGAGCTTTGGCTTTAATCCATTTCTAAAAGTAGTGAACTACTACCAGAAGGAAACCACGCTATCCTCTGGAAGGTGGGAATGGTCCGAGAATATCTAGATACCAGACGGCGAAAGGGATTGGATTAGTGATTGCTTGCAGTTTGTGGGCTTATAGTGAACCATACTTCAAGCATTGCTCACACCTCCTATAGAATGCTTCAACATCCTTCAGCAATGTTGGATGGAAGTAGCACAGTCGTTGAATTCAGTGAACCAACGTCTTCCATCCTGATTGACTCATGCATTCCCCGGAATGAAAATCCTGAAGAATGTCTTCCGCTTCGCTTTCTCTTACGTATCTCAGGTATATTGACGTTGTTGATTTTCGGAAGAGTGTTCCCTCTATCAACAAATATTGTGTGGCTTTGAATTTAAATTTCTTAAACTTCGTGACCTCCTTCTCAATGCCTCCGGTTTCTAAGTGTTTGATGTATGGATATACCCAGCTTTTGGCCTCTTCTCCTTCCACAGCCATAGTCTCGGGCTCTTTGATGACTGATCGGTTGAGTACCTGTGGTGTCCCATTCCCCAAGCGAACACATTTGTATAGCAAGTCAACCATCTGGTTTTCTTTAGCGACGTGCTCGATCTGGAACTATGCAAAATTCAAAATTTCATGCTTTGCCTTGTTAAGATAATTTGTCATTATCTCATCCCTGGCCTCAAACTCCTCGTTTATCTAATTTACTAAAAGCAACGGGTCTGATTTTACAACGAGGATCCAGACGCACATCTCGTAGGTCAAAAGCAGGCCAGTAATCAAAGTTTCATATTTCATCTGGTTGTTAGTGACTTCGAATTTCACGACCATTAAATGGTACAAATGTTCATCCATGTACAAGAGACACTCTTGTCGTTGGCTTTGACATTCTTCATCCAGCCTCTCCAGCTCCGAGAAGTTCGCCAGGAAGTCTGCGACCGTCTGTGTTGAATGCAGCAAATGTAGTGAACTGGAAATTGCCTTTCTGATTCCTCCCTAATTAGCACAGAGTTGTCGCCTCAACTTCCACTCTTAAGTACAGTGAGAGTTCTTCATTCAACCTCAGACTTTGGAGTTGTGGTGAGGCTAGGGAATCCTTTGGGCTTTGGAAAGCTTGTTGACATTCATCCGTACAACTGAAACTTTCAACTTTCCTGAGGGTCTTGAAGAATGTTGCACACTTGTCGCCCGACTATGAGAAGAACCTGTTGAGAGCCACAATCCTGTTTGTTAGCTCCCAAACTTCTCCGCCATTTTTTAGCGGTGACACGCCAATTAGTGCCTAGATTTTGTTTGGGTTCTCTTTTATGACTTCTGGGGTTAGGACGTAACCCAAGAATTTGTCAGTTAAGGCCCCAAACGTTCATTTTAGAGGGTTCAATTTCATATATATATATATATATATATATTTTTAAAGTTTGATAATTTTCTTTTCTCTTCAATCTTTTAATCTTTAACGTTTTGCTGACACATTCTTGATATACACTTACTAAATCCTGCTTTTGAGTTTAATGCACAAATTCCTCAAGTAAATACCTAAATAATATCCGATGATTTAACCTCTAACAGCACAGTTAATTTTCCAAATTATCCTTCTCAAAAATTAGTATATCTGGATTTAAAGGAAATCCTACTTGAGTTACATCCTACTCGCAGACAAACAACCCCTAAAAACAATACCAAAAAATCAAAGAAAAAAAAAAGAAAAAAACTCCCAACTTTCACCAGAGACCATTTGGCAAGTAAAAAATCAGTGAAATTGCAGACACCGGAAAAACTCATCCACCTACTGATCCCTTCTACCATATTCTGCAAGCTAAATACGAAGTTTATTAAACACTGGGGCAACAATCAACGCTAGAAGAGTATATATCAGCAGTTTTACAAAATACCGAGTTGTCGAAGAAGAGCGGCGCCGCTTTCCGATGTCCAATCCGAGACTACCAAAAAAGAAGCTGCTCCGTTTTACTCCCCGATCCACCGCACCGCTCTAGGGGTTGTAATAAAAAGCTCACGAGATGTTCATGAAACCTAGAGATTCATCGAGGCACCGGACAATAGGTGCTCCCCTTTATCTGCTCATGAGCAAGCAGTGTGTGGAGGGCTGAGCGGCACCTAAGCGGTAAGCGGACAAAAGAGTAGTTTGGCGGGATAGACGAGGAGGAGAGGGACGTGTTTATTATATGTAACTCTTTTATATACAGATTTTGCATGAATGCAAACTATACTCTGCACATAATAATTTTTTAGGAGAAGCCACACATGTTGGGGAGATGTTGAATCGAAGAGAGGTGAAGAATGAGAATGGATTAGGAGGGTGGCCATTGCCACCATCGCTACAATGGGAAGAGTGTTATGCGCATCATTTTATTCAAGCAGAAAATAAAAAAAAAGATACATTTCATCTTTTCATATTTAAAATGATAATATTCTTTATGTGATGTGAAAAATTTTGAAAAATTTTGATCCTATGAATATAAAAAGTATAATTTAGGTGCTATATATATATATATATATATATATATATATATCTCTCTCTCTCTCTCTCTCTCTCTCTCTCTCTCTCTCTCTCTCTCTTATGTTGAGAAATTAGGGAGAAGAAAACTAAAAATCGACACAAATTCAGAAAAAGACATAGAGATTTAACGAGATTCAGCAAAGATGTCTACGTCCTTGCGAGCAGAGCGGCGAATTTAACTATTTCAAAGGAGTACAGTACATACCGATAGAGTTACACATCATATATATAGATAAAACTCACAATAAAATTACTAACACGCTCTTACTCCCCTAACCCACTAAATTCCAAGAGACACTATTCAAATCCAAGAGACACTCATCTTCATAACAGGAGACACACTTCTTCAATTTCAAATGACTCCAAATTCTGATATATAAGATATACCTAACAAATTTCCACATTGGCAAATATTCAGCTCCTAAGAAAAAATATATATACTCAGCAAATCTCCACATTGACAAATATTTAGCTCCTTAGGAGAAATAAAAAACATCATGAAGTTTCTTACACCGAAGACGGTTAGACAACCATGTCGTCTAACAATTGCAAACATTCAACAAGTTCAAGTAATGCAAGAACTTGTTGATAGTATCTGACTTGGTTAACATATTTGTTGTAATTGTATCATATGATTCAATAGAATGAACTTCACCTACAACTGTTCTCCCCAACAATTTATAGATATTACCTACAATGATTTTTTATTTCATCACAATCAATGCACCTTTAACAATTCTGATGGTTTATTTATTCTCATCTGCATTATGAATAAAACCATTTCTGTGTAAAATGCCAGAGGAAATTAAATTCTTCTTCAAATCTGGAATATGTCTTACATCACGTAATGTTCTAACAGTACCATTATACATCTTAATTCTGAATTTATTGTAACATATATCATTACCCAATTAGACTGAACAAGATTCAGATAATCTGTGTGAAGTAAATCATTTCATGTTATACATTCTGAATCAAGACTCCATGCATCATTCAACTGAGTTGTTGTAACTAAAAGTACATTATCGTCACTGTAATCTGTAATGTCACTCTGCACTATATTCATGGACTTGGAAGATACATTATGTTTATCATCAAACTGCTTCTTGAGCTCTGAACAATCTCTCTTCATATGTCACGTTTCCTTGCACTTGCAACAATGAATCGTCTTTCTGCCTTTAGGTTTTGACCTGAAATTTCATATTCCAGAACTCTCATTCTCCTTCCTTTCACAATCCTAATAATTATCATGAGAACTTTTCTCTGCATTTGGCTTCCGCTGATTTTGAGCCAATAATGTTGCAGTTTTCTTATCAATTATGATTTTTTATTTTTTATATATGAGAGTAGTCACCAGATGTTCATAAGAGGAAGACAATGAACGCAACAGACTCATTGCTCAGTCTTCATCCTCAATACTCACATCAAGCCGTGCCAGATCCGTGATTAATTGATTGAAGACATCCAAATGTTGCGCCAGATCAGTGTCTGTCTGTATCTTTAAGCCATACAGTCTTTGTTTTAGATACAATTTATTCGTCAGAGATTTGGACATAAACTGAAATTCCTATTTCTTCTATACTTCTCATAGAGATTTTAGATTCATAACATGATACATGATCTCATCTGTCAGACATAAACGAATGGTACATGCCGCTCGTAGTTGCAATTCTTCTCAATCTTCGTCTTCCATATTATCAGGTTTCGTACCTCGCAAAACCCAAAATTTCTTGTCGTGCCAATAAATATTTCATCATTGTTTGCCACAATCTGAAGTTCTCGGTTCCATTGAACTTTGCTATCTCGAATTTTGCACCATACACTACTATTTGAAATTAATATTGCAGCAAACTTTTCATGGCTTGTGTAAAAAAAAAAACACACCGCAAATAAATTCAAAGAAACCTGAAATTTTTATGTCAATTACAACAAATTTTCTGCAATTTTTATTGTGATCCGTGAATCAAATTTTTCACACGAACCACTTTTCCTGTTAAACTGTTGTCTCGCAAGCCAAAATCCTTCGCCTGTTCGCAAAGTACCTTGTGCCTATTCCTGAAATACCTCCGCGAAACCACTGTTTGCGAATAGTCGAACCTGCTTGTTTTTCCTGCACCCTGTCGAACTCCACCTGTCGCACCTCTTCCTGCGACAATTTTGCGAACTCCGCTGTTTGAACTCCTCTATTTACACGCTCTTGTTCGTAGTAATTGCACTAGAACTCCTGTTCGCGAACTCCGCCTCGCCAAACGCCGCGAGGGTTTGTGAACTGTCGCGCCTCAAAGCCCATCTAGTTTTCGAAGAACCGAACTCCTCTGGCTATCGCAGAAGGAGCCTGGATGCGCGAACTTCCTGCTGCAGAAGAAGCACTCTCACCTCTACCTATCGTGTGAACTCGTGACACTGCCTTTACCGCGAACTCCCGAAGCAGAACTCGCCAAACTACAACAGCCCTTTGTCCAAACTGTTTAGCAGTTGTTCGATCCCGCGAGTAAGTTTGACTTGCGAACAATCCACAAAATTTGCGAAATCGTTCAAACGTCTCGATGTCGCAAACGGCCGAATTCGCCGAACTCTTGCGGGAACTTCCTGCACCAGACTCGCGAATGCCCTTGTTCGCAAACTTGTTCGCGCGCAAAATTTGGCCTAACAACCTTGTTAGCAAAGCTTCGCGAAATGCAGGCGAACATCCTCCGAATCTCGCCCGATTGCCAACGATTTGACCCGATCTTCTTCCCGCGAACGATCTGCTTCGCCCGCGAATTATCTGTTTCGCCCGTGAATGATCTGCATGCGAACGATCCTCCCTGTCGGTTGAAGCCTGGCAAAAATTTTTTCCTGCGCCGATTCTCCCTTTGATAAAGTCGCGAATCCCTCTCGAGGTTCATGCGAAACCTGGTCGCGAAACATTCCGGATATGTTCTTCCTGCTCGCAGAACCGTCGCCCGAACCTCCTCTGCTAATTTCAACAAAGCCCTTCGCGACTCGTAGTTCGCCCAACTCGCCCTGCGCCGAACATTCCTCATGCGGACGAAGTTTCTACTCTTCTGCCCTACAAACTTACTCTGATGCCAATTATTGAGAAATTAGGTAAATAAAAAAAGAATTCACACAACTCCAGTAGAACACAAAGAGATTTAAAGAGGATCAACAAAGATGCTTACATCATCTGGAGCAAAGCGGCGAATTTCACTATTTTCAGAGGAGTACAGTACATACCCATAGGGTTACAGTTACACATACACATCATATATATAGATAAAACTCATAGATAAAATTACTAACATGCCCTCGCTCCTCCCAATCCACTAAATTTCAAGAGACACCTCTTCAATTACAAGAGACACTCCTCTTCATAACATGAGACATACCTCTTCAATTCCAAGAAACACATCTCTTTATTACACGAAACACACCTCTTCAATTCCAATAGATTTCAAATTTTGATATCTGAGCAATACCTAATACCTTTTTAGGATTATTTACATTCAACCCACTCCGTTCTTATATATTTACATAGTTAACCTAAACTTCAATTTCTACAAATAAATGTAAGTTGTTCATTTGTAAAAATTAAAGTAGTGAAAATATTTTTTTTTATTAGATAAGTGAATACACAAGAATTAGGTGATCAACATGTTGATGTAAATTAATCAACTAAATCCCAAATCTAGAAAATTAATAGTTAACAAATCAACAAAATTAAATTGAATTTTATTAGATACAAGTCAAATATATATATATATATATATA